ATCATAAAGTTGTGTTTTTTTTCTTCCCCTTTCATAAGGAGAACTTTTTTTCCACCATATTTTGAAATTTTTCCTCCAAGGCAAGTAAAATTTAAAAAAAAAATCAGATGGGTTCAAAGGAGATGTTTTAAATCCAGGTGCTAAGGAAATCCAAAATATAACAGCAACAAAAAAACCCCACAAACTTAGGTGATTAAAATAAAACTGTTCCCTTGTTTTGGAGTCCTGAATAAGTTTTGAAAAAAGAAAACTTATCACATATGTGGGGCTGGAGTGATAGCACAGTGGTAGGGCATTTGCCTTGCATGCAGCCAACATGGCCGACCCGAGTTCGATTCCTCCGCCCCTCTCGGAGAGCCCAGCAAGCTACCGAGAGTATCTCGCCTGCACGGCAGAGCCTGGCAAGCTCCCCGTGATGTATTCGATATGCCAAACACAGTAACAACAAAATCTCCAATGGAGATGTTACTGGGTCCGCTCTAGCTCTAGCAATCACATATGTAAGAATTTGGCCCAAGAATAAATTATTTTCCTTCATAAATAACATATCAAATAATTAGAGATAATTAATAAATTAACATTTTATCTTCAACACCTAGTAGAACGTAGAGATTCTCCTATTATATTTCTTATAGAAGATACAATCATATATTTTTACTTTCAGAATAAGTGTGGAAATTAGAGGAGGGACATTGGGGAACTTAATTTTATGAAATATTTAAGCAAATGCTAGACATTTGTGGTAGCTGATCTTTCTAGAAAATATTTATAACAAACAAAATGATAATTGATTCTAATCTCCATAACCTCTCAGGTATGATCTCAGTTTACTCAGCAGAAAAACATATCCTCAGGTGACATGCACCTAGTGTGGCTAAGTCAGATTTCAGAAAATGACCCAATGACTACGACAATCCTCTCTTCCATTAATTCATTCTAGCTTCTTTATTCATCTCTCAGCCAAAACTCTTTTGTTGGTCTGTTTGTTTGATTTCGGTTTCCTCCTGAGAATCATTCTTGGTGGTGTTCAGGGAATCTAAGCAGTGCCTGAGATCCAACCCAAGCTGCCCACGAGCAAGCAAGCACCTTAGCCCTTGTACTACTTCTTTGTCCCAGTCAAAACTATTAACATCATTTGCTTTCCCTACTGAATATTACTTAACACTATGACCCAATTAACTTAAACTGGCAAATTATAACACAAAATGGAACTCCAGGATTGGAGCTATTTTCTTGAAATACAGTTTCTGTTTGCCATGTCAATTTGCAAAGATAACTTTTAAACCAGAGATAAGTCCAGATAGATTAGATATAGATGCTTATACTCTGCAAGTCTTAGAGTAGGAATAAACTAAAGCAATTTGCAAAACAAAGAGAAAGTTCCTAAAGGACACTTTGTATTCTTCTACTGCAAGCATGGGGAATGTTCAGCCAACAGGCCTTGTAAGGCATTCAGAACCATGGAATCTGGCCCTGGTAGCATTGTAGCATCCTTCTATTGTTCATCATTGATTTGCTGGACCGGGCACCAGTAACGTCTCACAACGAATTGGAGACTTGGCATATCGAATACATCACGGGTAGCTTGCCAGGCTTTGTCATGCGGGCGAGATACTCTTGGTAGCTTCCTGGGCTCTCCGAGAGGGGTGGAGGAATCGAACTCTGGTTGGTTGCCCGCAAGGCAAATGCCCTACCCGCTGTGCTATAGCTCCAGGCCAGAATAAACTGATGTTTCTGTGGGCTGCCTGTACCTTTACTACATTTACTGTTTGGCCTGTGAATGATCTTACAAATAACCAAATGGCCCCTCGCAGAAAAAAGGCTCCCCAACCCTGTTCTAATTCCTAGAATTTTCATAGTATTTAACTATGCAGAAATTAATTCCTGAAGTATTTATTTACTAGGTCTCACAGTTGCAGAAAGAAAGGGAAATTCTAGCCTTTTATTTAAATAATTAATGCAAATAATTTTAAAAGAAAATAGTAGAAAGAAAAATGTGAAGGGTTTAAGAGGGGGTGCATTAGTCAACTTTTTAAAGAAGAAATGCTTGTTTGAAAGGTCTAGGGTGTCTTTACAAATACACAAGGGGTCAAATAACATAAGCTCTAAATGTCATTATTAAGTCTTTCCATAGCTTGTGATTATTTGATAGCCTAAGCATAGATTAGGTATCAAATAAATGAGATGACTTTCTAATGTTTTATTCACAGAACTTTAGAAGACTTGAAGATTATGATTTATAAAATAGTCAAAGGTGGCATATTCTCTGCTGCCAACATCACAATCACAACCTTGGGATGTACTCTCTCTCTCTCTCTCTCTCTCTCTCTCTCTCTCTCTCTCTCGCCCTTTCTTTCTCTATCCCTGCATTTTTCTAAATAAAATGATTCTACTTTTTCAAAATGAGAAAGTTAAAAGTAAAGTGGTTCCAAATTAAGACATTAGAAAGACTAGAGACAGCTCGAAGAGCTTAGTGCATTCTTTGCATGTGGGAGGCTGGGGTTTGATATCCAACCCTGCATAAGGTCCCAAGAGCAGGGCCAGGAATAATTCCCAAGCACAGGGACTAACCCTGAGAAGTCCCGGTGTGGCTGAAAAACAAAAACCAAATACAAATGCGAGAAAGAGGAGGACATGGAAATCTTAGGCTTCAATATAGCCTCTTTGTTCAACAGCATCATTCTGATGTGAGTAAATCAGATGTAAAAAAAAAAAAACAACAACTTGCATTTTAGACTCAAAATAAAATCAAAATATTACGCCAAAAAGTAACTAGATCCTCTCTTATACTTTTGGCAGTAAAGGTAATCTGACCATAACAAAATAAGACCAAACAATTAAAGAGACTTGCACTCATTATTTTTTAGCTTTGATTTTGATCTGCTCCCTTGGGAGCAATGTGCCAACCAGCCTGTTTTTAATAGAAAAGCTACAGCAAAATTTAGGTGCTAAACTTTTCTTTGGTCCCCAGAGCCAAGGAATGTTTTTACCTGGTAGTTACCAGAAGTTAGAGAGAACAGAGTGTAAATGCAAGGTAAAGTTATGTAATTGTCTGTTCTCTTCTTCTCCAGTCCAATGAATAAGGAAGAGCAAATACTTTTTTTTTTCTCTCCTTAACTGGGAAAATCCAATAGAATGATCTGAATAAGTTGGAGTATAACACTGTTCTTAGAGAAACCACAAAGAAAGTTAATAGGTTCCAAGGGAAGAAGAGGAAAAAAATAATCCCAATGAGTTATCTCAAGGGAACTCCTGAAGTCTTGTGGAACCAATTTTTATAAATTTGTTCAACTCGGTGTTCCTTACTCACACCACTTGCAATGTAATAAAATAAAATTATAGATAGATATATAGATGATGAACCAAGTCACTCCCTAGAGAATTTAACATATATCATTAATAAGTTGAAGATACCATTGAATTTGACCTCACATTAGGTAAAATAGGAGCACATCATATTATGGAGATTCTAGTTCAAAGAAGTAATGTTAGGATTCATTAGAATACAAGAGAATATAATTTATAGCTCATAGGATGTACCAGGAACAAAAACTAACAAAATGGAGTTAAGGGAAATATTCAAAAATTACCTGTGACGATTCTTATCTAGCTAAGTGGGTTGTATTGTTCTATCTAAATATTCACACAGACATAGTCTAGCTGAAACTCTAAGTAGTATTTTACTAAACACCCTATTGTTACATTGAAGTGTGAAGAGCAGGGATGGAGATTTTTCAGAAGCCTTTTTGTGAAATTCAAAATTTTATACACAACACTAACTAAAAGAAAGAATGCACAGTCCTTAAACTATCACTAACTGATCTTAATCTTAATAATTTCCTAGGAGAACTTTAGTGACAATTTCATCTTCACATCATTTAGATGTTGAGGGTAAAATCAAGTTGAATCCTTGGTTTTTAATAACATTTTTTAAAAATTGTGAAGCCAAATATTAGCATACATTTCAATATTAAACTTATTTTTCCATACTATTTCTGAAAAAAAGAATTAAATACAGTAAAACCAGACAAAATAAAGGTATTTGCAAAAACCTATGCATAGATATTACATAAAAATGAATTATTTTTAAGTCTATAATGGTAGGTAACATTACTAGAAACAGCTATTTAACTAAAGGCTTTTTGTTGTGTCTAGTTACTTCCCAGGTATTATCCCTTCAAATTGTATCCAGGAAAAAAATAATTTAAAATGAGACTTTTAAATTGCCATGAATGAATAATTTAAAATGAGGAAAATAAGCCACTGATATTCCCAAGTAGCATGGCTGAATGCATTTTTCCCTAGTAGTAAGTATTTATAAACTCTAGTTCCGTTTTTCAAAGTTGAATGGAGCAGAGAAAGAATTATAGACTCTCGGCAAACTCCATGTGATTGAAAATGTTTGTAAACTTTCATTCTCAGTCAACCTCTAAGCATTCTTTGGAGAAATCAAAGTAATGAAATATCCTTTCTTTAGTGTGGTCACTTTTTTCAAGCTATACACATAATTCAAAGCTAAATGAGCTAGCATGAAATTAAATCTTCACTGAGATTTAATGTGAAACAATACTATGTTGGTTTGGCTGCATGATGCTACTTTTGTATAAAGGAGAAAATTATCAAACACTTGAGGTAACCTAGAAAGCACAGAGTATGTCACAGACATCTTAAGATAAGCATTTTAAACATTTTTGCCAGTGCTTCTCTGAGAGCAAGTTCTTTAAACAGAACTTAATGATTTTTACAATATTAAAAAAAAATCCCTCAAAAATAGCTCATCAATGCTAAATCAAACTTTCTGTATTTCTACAAAAATAGATGCACAGAGAGCTACAAAATTGTATTCCTGAAAGAATGAGCATTTCTATCTGTGGTTCATCTTTTCCTGACAAGGTGAATGGTTAAAAATAAATCAAAATGAATAAAACTAAAACCATGTATTGATAAAAGACAAAAAATAGAGTTGCACAGTTGGCAAAGGCTCAGATGAGGGTGGGGGGACAAACAAAAATGCTTCTCTTCAATGTCTAGGACCCACTCTGCTTCTCAAGGAAAGGTTCCAAGCCATATTCAAACTGGCTGACACTTCCTCTTCTTCCAAGTCTATTGTGTCCCATTGCAGAACAGAAAATCCCGGGAGCATCATTTATCAGTGGGCCTTTGGATTCACACTCTAACCCAACTCGCTAATACTGTGCATTTCAGTACCAAGGTGAGTCCTTGCTCTTGTCTTGATGCTGCAGACCTAGAAAATGTGACAACAGAAAGAAAAATGAATTAGTATATGAAATACTCAAAATTGGGCATCACTTAAAATGCATGGAAATTTGGGAGCAGAGAGTACAATGCAGAGGATATGGGCCTAGCGCATAACTGACCAGGGTTCAATCTTCAGCACCCAATATGGTCTGCCAAACCCCACCCAAAATGATTTCTGGCCACAAAGCCAAGAGTATGCCCTGAGCTCAGATGGCTGTGGGCTAAACACCAAATACCAAGTCAAATAAAACTGCATTGAATACAGAAGTCATAAAAAAATCTAGGCAACTATAAAGCAAAACCTAAAGAGTACCTAATTGCTAATTGTGACTTCAAGCATGAAATTGAAGGCACAATTTTAAGAATTTAATCAACACAAGTAATGAAGAAGAGAACTTTTTGAACTAGGGCAATGACTCTTGTATAGCACAAATTCTTTTCATGGACTTTATTTCCATAGATTATAAGTGAATGATAAAAAAAAAACTAAAGTTTTTCATTTGTACTTTCAAAAGTATGTGATACAGGGAGAAAAAAAAATCTAACCAAATTTTTCAGACACTTGGGAAGCATTCACTTAATTAATTTGATTAATTTTAAAATATATGTATATGTTTGAATTAACGTCATAGATAAATTCTTGCATGAATCTGAATCATATTCCATTCTTATAAATGATGATACATAATGAGACATGATAAAGGAAAACTAAATCTACATTATCAGTAAGATAGACATTATTGTTTCATAGCTAATAACACAAATTTACATTCTGTTGATAAATTTAATACTTTAACCCATCCTCCTGCAGATATTACTAAAGATACAATGTATATTTCATATCAGGATAGTGGAGAATCACAAGTTCATAAAATAGTGACAACTAAAGAAAAGAGTGGATATGCATGAATTAAAACTCAAAGTCAAGCAATTATCAAGAAGTAATTCAAATAGGAAAGAAACAATACAATTCTGATCTGGTTCGTATATACAGTCAGCTTATTAATTTCTGATATGGGTACATAGCATGATAACTCTGCTTGTATCCACTTTCATTAATTCAAGTTACTTTAGTTCTGAGTTATAATTGTTTAGAAAAGTAAAAAAGCCAAAATCTTAAATTTGTTTGGAAGCAGATAATCAAAATATGAAATAAAATTTTATAACAGAGCTTAAAAATGCAATGTAGTTGTTGTTGAATGGGTGCAAGAAGACCAGCAGGTCTTCTTGACTAAAATTGTCATAGATCTGGGCTAAAACGTAAGCTTACCAAATAGTTAAGAGTAGTGTGGTTTTTAAATTGTAATTATTACTAAAAAAAAGCTGCAGTGACAATTTATTACATCTGAATTTGTTAAAGAATTTCATAAAACAATTCAAGATATCATTACAAAGATAGTTATCAATAGAAAATAACACAATATACAAAAATATATGTGGTAGAAACAAGTAGGAGAAAAAGAAACTCTGTAGAACAGTAAATTATTATGTTCTACAGCAAAACTTTATTAATGCCAAAATATTGGTTCCATCTTAATTTTGATCCTCAAATGTACCGGTATCATTTTTAGATACTAAACTAATAATTTTTCTTTTCTATTTCAAAACAAGAGTAGGGCATGAAGACAAGGAAGAGGGATAAGATAAAATCAAAAGTCTATAAATTTAACCTGTTTTATTTACTCATTTTCCAATGATTTTTTTGGTTAGAAGAATTCACAACTTGATGTAGATCCTACTGGGTGACTTATAATTTAAACCACCTTCACTGACAAACAGCTTTACTGCATAAATATTTTTTTCATTATTAAGCCATCTCATCTCTGAATGACTCAGTATTTCCACACTTGAGGACCCCATAAATCTATAGAATGTCAACACTGCAAGTCATGAATAGTGGTGGAATCATCAAGTAATCTGAGTGTGCTTTTTCTCTCATCTTAAATAAAGGCAATCCCTAGTATGCTTACAGAGACATATGACTCCTTCAAAACCAGGTTAGCCTTTGTCTGTGGACAAGTATTGGATTACTTAACATAGCTCTAAATTTTCCAACCAGAATAACAGAAGACATTCTTTCACTAAACGTTCCTCTCCAAGTTTATTTAGTCTGATTCCAAGGAATTATTTGAAACATCAACTCATCTCTGATCTAACACAATTAAATTTCTAACATGGTTTATGTGTGTTAGCTTCATCTTGGTCATAGAACATATATGAAAACTTTATGCTAATTCACAGGTATCTGTGAATTCCAAAAGCACAAGAAAAAGAAAATCTCAAACAAAAGCTCCTCCTATGACTAAGTTGCAACAGAGAGGTAGGAATGAGAAAAAGTCAAGATATTTATGGATTTTTGTGACAAATATTAGGGAGAATAAGATATTTAACTTTACTGACAAATGTTAGGGAGGACAAAATTGCTAACTCATGATCATCAGTGATCTACGTATATTTGGGTTTTTTTCTAATTTTTAAAACACAGAACACAAAATGTACTCTTCTATAATTTTATACCTAGTTATGCTTCTTTTTGGACTTCTCACTTCCTTAATAATATATATATACAAATAATTCATAACATGCAGTCTCCTCACTATCTCACTTTGTTTATATTTATCTTCTTGATACTACTAACTCCATTTTACTTCCAATGCTGTGTCTTTGAAATTTTCAGTGAGAAAAAAAGTAATGTTTATAACTGTTAATAAATATTCTCTTAAGGGTTAAAATTCCAGGATCCTTGTTATATATTTTACATAAAATGTGTCATTTAATGTTTCTGGTCATACAATTTTAAAAACAAAAACAGAAGTTATACAACTATTAAGTGGTAGAGCTAGGCTTGAAAGCAGGGTGGTCTGATATCAGAGTCAATGATATTGACCACAAAATATATGGTTCCTTCTTGAGAGGAGAACTGACTGTAGATTGTGGCATTAGACTATGTTCTCACCACTTCCAAAGTCAAAATCCTTTCATAAAATCAATTCAAGGAAAAATAAATACATTTTAATATTCCTTTTCACATGGTTTATAAACATCTTGATTTAAAAGAACTAATATCAACATTAGCAAAATAGCTTTGTCAGTTTTTATACCATATATCTGCAATATTTTTCCTAAGCATAGTATATTATTCCACAGTAGTATGATACAGTTCAGATAATGGCTACTTTGAATATGTAATATGATAAATCATTAAATATTGTTGGCTTGTATTTTTAAGAGTGGCATACCCCAAATCAATAGACATTCCCAATGTGAACACGAAGACATGGAGATTAGGGTTGGTTATTCGACTTATGAGATAATTCAGAAATGAGCCAGAGAACAAGCACAACCAATTCTTGGCTTCAGTGGTGAAAAATCAGATTCAGTTAGAGAAATTCCAGAGAACAAAATATATTCATAAATATAGTTCCTCACTTAATTCTGGCACCACTACGAAAGAAAGAAAGAAAGAAAGAAAGAAAGAAAGAAAGAAAGAAAGAAAGAAAGAAAGAAAGAAAGAAAGAAAGAAAGAAAGAGGGAGGGAAGGAGGGAGGGAAGGAAGGAAGGAAGGAAGGAAGGAAGGAAGGAAGGAAGGAAGGAAGGAAGGAAGGAAGGAAGGAAGGAAAGAAAGAAAGAAAGAAAGAAAGAAAGAAAGAAAGAAAGAAAGAGGGAGGGAAGGAGGGAGGAAAGGAAGGAAGGAAGGAAGGAAGGAAGGAAGGAAGGAAGGAAGGAAGGAAGGAAGGAAGGAAGGAAGAGGGAGGGAAGGAGGGAAGGAAGGAAGGAAGGAAGGAAGGAAGGAAGGAAGGAAGGAAGGAAGGAAGGAAGAAGAAGAAAGAAAGAAAGAAAGAAAGAAAGAAAGAAAGAAAGAAAGAAAGAAAGAAAGAGGGAGGGAGGGAGGGAGGGAGGGAGGGAGGGAGGGAGGAAGGAAGGAAGGAAGGAAGGAAGGAAGGAAGGAAGGAAGGAAGGAAGGAAGAGAGAAAGAGAGAGAAAGAAAGAAAGAAGGGTTCTGGCTATAGCACAGAGAGTAGGGGCGTTTGCCTTGTATGCAGCCGAACCTTCCCAGCATCCCATATGGTCCCCCAAGCACCACCGGGGGTAATTCCTGAATGCAGAGTCAGGAGTAACCCCTAAGCATCACCAGGTGTGACCAAAAAAGGCAAAAAAAAAAAAACGAAAGAAAGAAAGAAAGAAAGAAAGAAAGAAAGAAAGAAAGAAAGAAAAAGAAAGAAAGAAAGATGGAAAGAGAGAGAAAAGAAAAGATCCAGGATATGGAATAGAGCAAAGGCAGTATAAACATAAAAAACAAATTAGGCTAATTAGGAACAGGAACAAGGAATGAAATGTTGGCTACAGAAGACAATCACAGACTGGTTTCCCTAAAAAATCTGAACAGCTTAGCTATTTATCAAGCCATCAAACTCATTTTCTTTTGTCTTAACCCTTGTGAAAAAATTCAGGGAATATGGAAATAGAGTTGGCAGAAGAGTATGTAGGCAGGAAAGGCTCTGGGACTTCCCTTGCTCAGGTTTCTTGGATTTCCTCTATTGATAACATGTGAAAAGATACTAAAGTTCCTTTATGAACCCCCGAAAAGCTACAGAAGCTAGCAGAGAAAATTCTAGTGGATCTGCCAATATGTTTCATAGCTAAAGTATTGGGTGCCGTAGCTAAAGCAAGGGACAATGCCCCCCTCCCATTTCTCAGAACACACACCCCCAACTGTGCATCTGAGAGGTTACATCTGAAGCTGGATTCAAGTTAAATAGACAATTGAAGAGGGACGAGGAAATTTGAAAAAGAACACACACCCAGTAGGAAGAGAAGTTAAGTTCTGAACAAAGTTTGGCATATGAATGAAATCCTCTTAACTAATAATTTTTGTGGTATGAGCGATTCTCTCAAAACACACGGTAATCCAGACAAGAGTGTGAAAAACAAACCTGTGAAAATGTTTTAAATCAAAATGGGTCAGCCTGATACTAAAAACAACAA